GAGTTAGCAGGTTCCTGACATAATACCAAAATATCATCGGCATACATAAATAATTTGTGTTCCCTCCCCCCTCCGCTCACCCCCACGATTCTAGCTTCTTCCCTAATCTTAATAGCTAATGGCTCCAAGAAAATAGTGAACAGAAGTGGACTTAGGCTGCAACCCTGACGTGTTGATCTGGAGATACGGAAATAATTGGACAATATTCCATTAGTAAAAACAGCGGCCATTGGGCCCAAATACAAAGTACTAACCCACCTACAAAAATTTTTGCCCAGTCCAAACTTCGACAAAGCGGTGAACAAAAAGCTCCACTCTACTCTATCGAAGGCCTTTTGGGCATCAAGTGATATTGCCACTACAGGATTTTTGTTGTCTTTATTTCCCCAAAAAAGATGCAGAAGTCTTCGCATATTATCAGCTGAAGAACGATGTTTAATAAAGCCCACCTGATCTTTGTGAATAATCTGTGGTAACGCAGTCTCTAATCTTGTGGCTAGAATTTTTGATAGTATTTTGCAATCCACATTTAACAAACTTATGGGACGATAATTGACTGGGTCTGTAAGATCTTTATCCCCCTTTGGTATGAGAGTAATTATAGCCTGATTGAAACTTTCAGGAAGTGAACCACATTCAAACGCTTCACGATAAACATCAGTTAGAATTGGTGCAAGTATATCTACAAATTTATGATAGTATTCGACTGTAATGCCATCTACGCCAGGTGATTTCATTTTCTTCATTCCAGCAATTGCTTTTTTAACTTCGGCCTCATCTATGGGTGCTTCCAATCTATCTTTTTCATCCTGGGTAATTTTGGGTAGCTTTATTTTGTCAAAAAATAATTCTAATTCTTCTGCAGTCGTTACATTTTCAGATGTATAAAGATCTTCGTAGAATCTTTGGAAAATTTTATTAATATGAGAGGATGATGTTATCAATTTGTCGTTTTCTTTAATTGCTGTGATTACGTTCTGATTCTCTAACCGTTTCAATTGTCTGGCCAATAGCCGACCCGTTTTTTCACCGTTTTCATAGAAATTGGTTTTGAGCCTAAATAACGCATATTCTGCTTTCTTATTATAAATTTCATGAAGGTTAAATTTCATTTTGCAAATTCTATTAAATTTGTTTTCATCGTAGTTTTCTGCCAGTTGTTTTTCCAATTCACTTATCTGTTTTACCAGTGTTTTGACTTTTTCTTTCCCCTCTTTTACTTTCTTAGAGCTGTATCCCAAGCATTTACCCCTAACAAAGGCCTTATGAGCATCCCATACTGTTGCCAATTTATCTGTTGATCCAATATTCACGTCAAAGAAATAATTTAAGTCATCTTTTAATGTTGTTACAAATTGCTCATCCTGTAATATACTGGAGTTTAATCTCCATCTACCCGACCTGCTATTTTCACCCTGCAGATGTATCTGTAGTTTCACTGGGGCGTGATCTGTTAGAGCAATTACACCTATTTCACACTCCGCTACTAAGTCAACACTGGTATTGGAGATCAGAAAATAATCGATGCGGGAGTAACTTTTGTGGGCATGTGAATAAAACGTATATTCCCGCTCCACAGGGTGTATTAGTCTCCATATATCCACCAGCCCAATCTCCTCTTTGAAAAGGGCTGTCGCAGACCCACCTCCACCACTAAAACTGGCACTCATTACATTTTTATCAATAAAGATATCTGAGACTTCGTTCATATCTCCACCCAGTATAATGTGGCCTTCAAGATTGCTTATTATGTTTAGGATGGAGTGAAAAAAAAGTGGTTCTTCCCTGTTCGGGGCATATATATTGCAGAGGACAACTTTCACATCGTTTAAAAGTGCTTGTATACATAGTATACGTCCCTCTGTGTCTTTAAACTCTTGTAATAACACAAAATTAAGATTCTTGTTTATAAGAATCATAACCCC